AACCTGTGTTGGACCCTTCTAGTAAATTTTTAGTTTTAGCTAATGTACTTTTCATCTCTAGAATTTCTATTTGGTTTTCTTTCTTTATTGAAGATCTCTACTCGTGAGCATCATTCTCATGCTGTGCTTATTTCTTTATACATGGTTTCCTTGAACATATTAAAATAGCTAATTTAATGTAATTGTCTGAGTCCAACACTAGGGCTTCCTCACGGACAATTTCTATTGACTGCCCCGCCACACACATCATATATGAGACATAGACTTCGTTTCTTTTCATGTCTCAGTATTTTGTTGTTGAAAATTGGACATTTGAAATAATACAATGTGGAATCTGGACTCTTCCCCATCTGGGATTTGGTGTTGTGCTTGTTGTTATTGTTTGTTTGCTTAGTGATCTTTCTTAACTAATTTTGTGGAGTCTGTGTTGTTTGTTATGTGTGGCCATGGCCAATGGGTATCTGTTCCTTAGCTTAGTCGTCAGCCAGTATTAGATTGATACTTTCTTAAATGCACAGGATTAGTAAGCCTAGAGAGAGGCTCCAAATGCATGTTGGGGAATGCCTTTGGCACTGAACCAGGCAGCTCACAAGTTCACCTTATCTGCTGTTTGTGCAGAGCCTCAAGGTCTTCCAAGGTGAGGGCTGAGGGCCTTCTCAGGTGTTCCCTGAACACATGCACAGCCAAGGGCATGAACATGGCCTTTTAGAAGATGCTTGAGTTCCTGGCAGTCTGCAGTGGACTTCTAATCTCCAGATGTTTCCTTTAGTGCTTTGCTTAGCTGTTGTCTCAGATGTTATTGCAAACTTAAGGAGATGCAGTGTTAAAAACTTGCCTGTGATGATTTTCAACAAATGTCCCCATGGAAAAGACTTTGTATTAGGTAAGCTCTAAGTCAGGTGGAACACAGACAAGCCTTGTGAGTGAGATTTTCCAAAGAAATTACCAGAAGGTAAAACCATGACAGTTATATGGAAATTGGGCTTTGGAGGGGCTCCAATCCTGTTCTGCCTGCTCCAGAAACTTCTAGGTGGCTTGTTTCACTATGTTCCAGGAGTTGTTGGTTTTCAGTGGGACCAGAGAAAGTGGTATGGGAATATTGTAGTTAAAACACCACTAGGCTTATGGTTCTTAGATTGGGCCATATTTATTTAATATACTCCTTAGATTGTTGACACCAGAGTTCTGGAATAAATGTTGCCAGTGTTCGCAATGATTTTGTGGGGAAGAAGATTTCTAGAGGCCCTTACTCTGTCATTCCTGCAGACACCAGTCAGCAACAAAGGTTAGAACTAGCTGCTGTTTGGGATGGAACAGAGAGAAGACTGAAAACAGATAAGATTGCAAAGGGCACTCATGGTTCAATCAAGGGTAGAACCAATGAGTTAGCAGTGGTGCCAAACTACTCAGCAAGCAAGTATAGATGCTGGGAGTAAAGACAGTTAAATTGGATAAGATTTGGGGTTAACAAAGCAAGTGGGAAGAAGGGTAATAGGGAATAACCTATGGGTTGCTATTTAGGTAAGGAAGGAAGTTAATGAGTTTGCAGAGTGAAAGTGTTTGCATAAGGAAATAAGAAAGTTGGGAGGTGAAATGGTGTTCATATAATGACATAGTCTCTCAGTTTTGAGAATTAACAGTTAGAGCTCTTGAGAGTTGGTCAACAAATTTCTGTCCTATGTGATTAGTGAACAATGAGGCCGATGGTATGCATTCCACAACAGAAGTTGAGATCATGTTTCTTGTTCACAACCATGAACTTGAACCCAACATCCTAAATCACACTACTGATTAAAGAGAGCTTTATGCAAAATACATGAGAAACATTAATTTTCCAATGAGAGGACTCAGGGAAGGGAGAAGATATCTTCTGAGTTAGATGTAGAGATTAGTGTCAAAAGGAAATTCCTACTGCAGGGGAAGTGTATCTGATGTGGTTCAGTATAGAAGGAGTTGAATGATGGTCTATCATGTAGTCAGGCTAAATATAGGGTACAGGTCAAAGACAGCAGTCACAGATGAAGGCAGAAGGATGAAGACAAGACATGGAATGTCTTGAAAACCCAGCTAAGGAACAAGTATAAATGTGCAGGGAAGCTTTAAAACCAGATCTCAATGTGTGATGAGTTTACATAGCAACGTAACTATGGCAACAGTGGGAAGGAACAGATTTTAGGAGGAGAGTGCTGGGAGGTGGAGAGTCTAGTTGAGAAGCTTTGGAAAAATTGTTATTTTCTTTTCCCTGAAGAAGGATGGTGAAGATGGAAATTTAAAATTGTGAGCGATTTTATGTTTAAAGCAAAATATGTCTGGTGATCACTTAAGATTAAGAGTATTCATTTGTAATTGGCTGACATTGGAAAAAGTTGAAAGCATAAAACGTTGGTGAAATTGAATGTAACCGTATATGATTAATTGGAACTGCAATTCATTTCCTAGTTTTTAAGCAGAATGCTTAGATTTTCTAGATTAAACATGAACTCGGTATTTGAGTTACATTATCTCTGCAGTATTGTTCTCAATAAACATCTGAAAATGGAATTTATTATGTTCCCTACAAGGTTTTATTACAGTTTGAATTGCTCTATTATAAATAATATGTTTAAAAGGTGCATGGTTGGTACCAGTTATTTTTTGAAGTATGATATCAATACACCTAACATATTCTAGGTACGTGAAAGGTTTTGGAAAATAGCCTGCCTTCCTTGCCACTTGCCATACTTCATGATTTCCAGACATAATTAGAGCTTGACTGCCCTCTAGTGTGAGAATTCTTTCCTGAGAATAATCTTTAATTGTGCAGTCCATAGCTCTGATTATACATCTTTTTTTGTGTGTGTGGTACTAGGACTTGAACTCAGGGCCCCCACCTTAAGCCACTCCACCAGTCCTTTTTTTTTTTTTGTGAAGGGTGTTTTTGAGATAGGGTCATACAAACTATTTGCTGGGGCTGGCTTTGAACCATGATCCTCCTGATCTCTGCCTCCTGAGTAGCTAGGATTACAGATGTGAGCCACGGCACCTGGCTTCATATTGTGCATCTTTTAGATTAGTTTAGGAGAGGTTACAGGGATGATTTAAGGAAACAGCCCTCTGTTTCTTGAGAAAAATGAATAAAAATTTCACTTTTCCTGTTTTAGTATGGCAGCATTGAGAACTAGTTGCTAGCAGCACCTGCCTTTTCCTGTCAGAAAATCTGTTAGTATTTTTTCCTTAAAAAGCTACATATTCAGTAATAGACATAGAATTTTTACCCTTCACCACAGAGATAATTTCCTTCTCTTCTTCAGAGAGCTAGCCTAGGTTTTGACAGGCAAACCAGAAGATGTGCTTCAGCCGTCTGTTCTATAATTGCCACCGCTGTCATCAAAAGCAGCAGTAATCTCAACTATTTGGGAGGCAGAGATCGAGAGGGTGATGGTTTGGGGCTGGCTTGGGCCAGAAGTTTGCAAGACTCCATCTCAACCAATAGCGAGGTGTGGTGGCGTGCACCTGCCATCCCAGCTATGTGGGAGACTTAGATAGAAGGATCCCTTTCCAGGCCAACCTTAGCAAAAGCATGAGGCCCTATTTGAAAAGAACCAAAGCTCCTAAAAGGGCTGAGGATGTGACTTGAGTGGTAGAGTGCCTGCCTAGTAAGTGTGAGATTCTGAGTTCAATCCCCAGCCCTGCTAAAAAGAAGAAAAAAAAAAAGAAGAAAGAAAAGCGCAAAGTGCAGCTGTTGATTGATTACTAAAACCCAGAATAGGAGCTACTCAATGATACAGCCCATCATGGCACCTACTGACCCAATGGTTAAACTGTCCTTAAACTTCTATTATTTGTAAGGTGTTACCCAAATCATATAAGGGAGCAAGGAGAACAAACTCTCACCCGGTGTCTACTTACTCCATGGGAAGAGCAGGCCATAGCTTTAGGAAGTCCTCACTTCCCTTCTTCAGGGTCCTAGGCCCGTATAGGCACTGACATTCCTGTGTCTGATCTAATGCAGACCTTAGCTGAGGTGACATTCCCTTTGTTGCATCAGATCAGTGGGCCTTCAGCCCTGTTCCCTGTGATTTCTGTGGGGCTTTGCCTTCTTGTGGTCATTCTGCTCCAGGTTCTTGGTCTGAAGTTTCAACCTTCTGGCCTCAGCCTCCCAGTATCTCCTTCCCCACAGCCCCCCATACACCCTCACACCACTTTCCCTTTCCCCCACCCCCTCACCTCCCAACTCCCCCACAAGCCTACCCACCCACCCCCTGGCACTCACACCACCCATTACAAAACCCACACCCACTCACCCTTCCCAGTCCCCCCCGTACCCCACATACTCCACACACCCACACGCTCACCCCCCACATCCCTACCCCTAATCCATCCCCCATGACACCCTGCCTTCCACATTAACTCCTGTGTACTCCCTGGTCCTAGACTTTTATATATTCCTCCCAGAGCTCTTAGTCACCTATTTGAGTGAGCAGCAGATCACATGGAAAATGAGGGAGAGTGGAGAAGTTCTGCACCACATCAAGAGTCCTTAGACATCCTGGGGTACAAATTCAGGGTCTGCCATGTCTGCTGTTATGACTTTCCCTCTTTCCCACCTTTTCCCTTTTCCATGTCACCCATGGATGTCTGCTCCAGTCTTCTGCAGAGCGGTTTTGCTACCTAGTCCTTCCAACCACACCCTCAAGTTCATGTGGTCCTCCATCGCCAAACCAAGGAGCAGCTTGTATATTTCTTCCTCAGCAAGCTAGTTCCCTCCTGAAATGGGGCAAAAGGAGGAACCCCCTTCCTAGGCAGGGTTACCCCTTCATCCCCAGCCTCTCCCAGGGAAGCCTTGGCTGGGTTTCCCCTGCACCCTGTGATCCACCTGCCATGGTTGAGTGCAGAGGGGAAAGCACTTGTAGACAGCACAGGACGAGGATGGGAGGTGACCCGGGTCATGCTCCCTGGGTGTGGGATATCCTTCCTACTTTCCCGATCACCTGATGATCACCAGTCTCTACACCCCACAGCCGCCAGAGCCGAGATGTGCAGCAGCACCGGGGAACGGTTTCGTATCTTCCGGGCAGAGAAGACCTATGCGGTGAAGGCAGGGCGGTGGTACTTTGAATTTGAGGCTGTCACTGCTGGGGACATGCGGGTTGGCTGGAGCAGGCCGGGCTGTCAGCCGGATCAGGAGCTTGGCTCTGATGAACGCGCCTTTGCCTTTGATGGCTTCAAGGTGAGTGCCCTGCTGGGGACCTGGACGGGGCTCCATGTGGCCAATGCGGGTCCCTGGGGTGCCCAGTGCGATCAGGACTTCCCAGCTCAGGCCTTGAAAGTGCAAAGGAAATCTGTGCTCCTGGAAGGCCCAGAGCTCTTTCTCCTGCCCCACCACTGCTGTGAAATTCACCACAAGGCTGGAGAGAAGATGAGTCATCTTTGCCTATCAAAAGTCTTAAGGAAGCTGGGCAAAGAACCGGGCATGGTGGCACTCACATCTGTAATTCAGCTAGGTGGGAGGTCTAGATAGACAGGAGGATTGTGGTCCAAGGTCACTCAGGGGAAAAAGTACAAGATCCTATCTGAAAAATAACTAAAGCAAAAAAGAGCTGGAGTGTGTGGCTCAAGTGGTAGAGTGCCTGCATAGCAAGGTTCCCAGTTCAAACCCCATAGCTCTTTAATAAAAACTCCTGGGATGGTGGCATACATCTATATTTCCAGCTCTCTGGGGGCCGAGACAGGAAGATCATGAGTTCAAGGCCAGCCTGGGCTACATAGGGAGACTGTCTCAAAAAAAAGGTGTTAAAAATACATGTACCAAGTTAAATGTAATAAAAAGTGTTCATGGTACGTACACGAAGTTAAAATGTGTGTACATTTACACAGTAATTCCATCCTCCAGTAAGAATGAGTGTATGTGTATACAGGTAACAACCCACACTAGAGTAGGATGGTAGGTACCCCGAGACTGGGATTGTAGGGCCAGGAGGAATGTGGCGAGGTTATCAGTGGGGACTAAGTCCTAGGTAAGCAGGAGCAAGAAGTTGTGGTGTGTCGTTGCAAGTAGGTGAGTCTGCATACCGACAGTGTGTATTTCACAAAACTAGAAGAAAAGAAATCACCTCAAATTCTTCACTGTAAGGACATAATAAAAGTTTGAGGAGACAGATGTGTGTAAACTCTGTATCAAAATAAATGGTGCCCCTTAAAATCTGAACATTTTTATGTATCAATTAAAAATCACATTTAAAAATAGCCCCACAGAGTGGGTGGCAAGGGAGGGGGTGGGGGCAGGGGGGGAGAAATGACCCAAGCCTTGTATGCACATATGAATAAAAATAAATAAATAAAAATAAAAATAGCCCCAAGAATGCTGCTGGTGACATTATTTACAATGACAGTTTTCCTTTTCAAGGGTACTAGTGATTTCATTTCTGAAGCTGGTCAAGTGCTTGTTTTGTTATTTATTTACGTATTAAATAAATGTTTAAGGGTTATGTTCCATGTATCAAGTGTTTCAAATTTAAAAATGTATCACTATGTTCATAGCTACAATGAGATAACAATTAACAAATTTTGGGGGGCAGTACTGGGGTCTGAACTCAGACTAGTGCTTGCTAGTCAGGCGCTCTACACTTGAGCCATGAGCCCTGCCATTTTGCTTTAGTTACTTTTTGGATAGGGTCTCAAAGCTGTGCCCATGTGTTCACTGGAATGACAGGTGCATGCCACCACACCCAGCTATTGGTTGAGATGGGACCGGGATCTTGCTAACTTTTTGCCAGGGGCTGACCTTGAACCTCAGTCCTGCTCAATCTCAGCCTCCTGAGTATAAAACATTTCAAAAACTAAAAATGTATGTGTTCTCGTGACTATAATGAGATAATAGTCACTTTGTGTTGATTAAATTGCGTTGATTTCTGATTTTCATCATTGAATTTGTATTCTTCTTCACATGGAGGTAAAGCCACTTTTCAGTAAGTAAAAAGGAAATTAGAATCACAAGCAATCTTGAAGAAACTGACATTTGGGTATTTCAAGTGTGTCATGCCCTGTGTGGGAAGCATTTCTAGGTAAATGAGGAGAGTTTTCCCATTTTGTTTTGACAAATCACATTTCCTGAATCCTGAAAGTTTAACATTTTTTTTTGGTGTGGGGGGTTTGAATCAAAATCAGAAAAATTTATTTAAAATTTTAAAAGCAAATTATCAGCTAGAATGTGGCTTTGGCTTTATTCTCGCTGAGGGTCAGATGTATGAAATACCCTTCACCCCAGTCAGATAACAGGCAAGGTGGGGCCCCAGTGTGGGGACAGCACAGGTAGGCAAAGGAGACTGCCAGAACTGGGTAAGCAGGTTCTTAATTCATACCTCTTGATACTTAAGTGTTTTTTTTAATACAAAATGTTATCTTGAGAAGGATTTTAGCAGTTTTGCACAGTGACTGTCCTGTTATATATCAGTTCACAGTGGAGATGATACTTAAGCACAAAGGTAAAAGACTTATCTGACAAAATAGTAGAACTAATTTTGTCTCTATAAACTGGTGGAGTACACATGTGGACCCAAAATTCACATCTGAATGTATTTATAATATAAGATTACATTTCTGTATTTAAGGAAAGTCTGTCATTTATATTCAGTGTTTGCTTTGCTATTTTAGAGCTCTAAGAATATTTTGAAGTTGGATTGGAAGCTTTTGGTTTTAGTATGTAACTACAAAGCAACTGGATTTCTGTTTTGTTCAAGTATCATTGCCATTGGCTCTAAGGAATGGAATTTTATTTTGAGATAGATAAAAATTTGAGTGTTATTTTCAATGATAAATTGACAGCTAGATTCTCATCTCTTAATTCTTCATATTTGTGACAGTGTGGACAAACAGCCCAGATCCAAGAAAGGATTCATCGTAGCAGAAAAAAATAAATGTTATAAAGACATACAGCTTTTCTTTTAACAGAAAGTCTGAGGATTATTATTTTTCTTTTTAAATATTAGACTCAAGATCATGGGTGTTGCTGAAGCTTCCCTAGCCCTTCCCATTAGCACTGAGGGTTTAGAATTCCTAGCTCCTGTGTCTGACGGTCACTGCTCTATCCTGGTATCCCTGGCCGGGTCCATCCTGTGCTGCTCCTAATAGAAGTTCTGCCAGTGAGTGGTGGGTGGGTGCTGTTCCCCTGGCTGGCTGTGACAAGGACTCTCCTGTCCTCTGTAGGCCCAGCGGTGGCACCAGGGCAATGAGCACTTTGGGCGCTCTTGGCAAGCTGGCGACATCGTGGGCTGCATGGTTGACATGAATGAGCACACCATGATGTTCACCCTGAACGGCGAAATCCTGCTGGATGACTCGGGCTCTGAGCTGGCCTTCAAGGACTTTGACGTTGGGGACGGTGAGTGACATGGCGCAGCTGCTGGTCCTCAGGGCTCTGGTTGAGGGTGAGCAGGCAGACAGTTACAGCTCCAAATCACAGGGTGCCAGGTGCTAATCTGCTCGGACACCCTTGAAATTGCCTTAGCAGAAATGCTGTCTTACACTTCTTAGCTGGGATTTTGATAAGGTGGAAATGGCTTTTTGAGGGTAAAAACACAAATGGCAGGTGAAGGGATGGTGCTCCATCCCACAGTCAGTAACTTTTCATTGAGGACTTCCCTGGCTAACCAGTTGCTATGCAGCCTTTTCCTGCTGATTCACTTCTCAAAAATGGAATGAGAATCCACCAAGGGTCAGGCCCTCTTGGGAGCTACAGTGACAAAACTGAATAAAGCCCTGTGCTATCTTTACATGGATTATAGTTAGCTAGAGGAGGTTGACACTTGTGTAACTTGTGATCAGTGGGCAAATTCTACAATAAGGAAATGCAGAAAGAGCTATGTGAGGTCAGGAGCAAATGCTTCTGACCATTGGGGGCCTGAGGTGACCTGTCAGCAGAATGTGAAGGGAAGATGGTGGCATTGGTGAAGCATAGAAGCCGTTTGCTCTTCAGAGCTGCACTGCCAATATGGTGGCCCCTGGGACTGGTTAGACTTAGTGTAAATCAGGGAAAGTTAAAAATTGAGTTTCTCAGTCACAATAGCTACATTTCAAGTATTCCTTACCCACAGGTGGCTGGTTGCATCCCCTACTGGACAGTGTAGGTATAGACAGTCCCATCATGCCCCAAAGTGTTCCATGTTGCTTTAGGGCATTGGAACAAGAAAGTATTTAATAAGCATTTGTATAAATAGCTCATTTCAAATTGAGCTAGTGCTTTTTTCAAAATGGCTTTTCAATGTATACCATAGATGTATATTTATTTGCATCTATGAATATATTTGCATACATACTCATTTTATGATACCTCTCAGTTGGCATTGACTTGTTTACTTATTTATTCTCTTTCAGTACTGGGGGTTGAATTCAAGGCCTCATGCTTGGCTAAGTGCTATACCACTTGAGTTATTTCTCCAGTCCTTTGGCTTTTTGGTTTATTTTTCAGATCAGGTCTCATGCTAACTTTGTTCCAGTGAGCTTTGAACTGTGATCCTACTGTTGCTGTCTCCCAGGTAGCTAGGATTACAGACATGTACCACCATGCTCAATGCAATTGGTATTTTAAATATTCTATAAGCTTGCTGATCCTCAGAATCTTAGCCAGTTCATTGCTGCATTAAGTTCTGTATTCATTCATGGAGCAATCTTTTGAGCAGATACAGCCCTCATTTCTTAAGCACAGAGTTACAAAAATAGAAGAATTTTGCATTTCTATTACTTTATGTTTTTAACAGCTGTACCTCTAGGTGGTAAAATTGGCACTCTAAAATCCTCCACTACTCCTGGGTGTCAACATATGGGGAAGGTCGTAGTGGTATTTTTTTCTCACTGTTGTCTGTTTGTACTGGCCACTACAATGGATATGACTTAAGATTTTATTTTTCAAATCAGTGTTATTGAAAAATGCTTGGTTATTTATGCTTTCCTTATTTGTAAGTTAAAGATGTTTAAATTGGTGTGTGAGTTGTGTTTGTGTAGATGTTCACAGCATACACAGAGTTTCACAGGACACCCATGCACACTGTTCAAGGGCTTAACAAATACTAATGACACAGAACTGTTGCACAGCTCAGTCACCCGTGAATGGATGGGAGGGGATCTGAAGAGTGGCACACTTGTATGACTAACTTTGTTTTTTGACTTTTTACTCCGTAAAATTTTCAGAAACTTTTAAATGATTTGCAGGTCCTAGGAAAGTATTTCTTTGGTCTTCAGGGCAGGTTTTAGCTTTAGGTAGCCATGATTATTAGCTGATGATTTTGTAGAGGTCAGTCATAAGTGTGAATTTTCTGCCGCTGAAGGACTTCAGAGTTTTTTTCCCATCTGTGACTGTGCAGGTCCTTTCGGTAGTGGAATCTCTTACTCCCTCCCCCTCCAAATTCACTTCACATGGCTTTCTATAAGAAGGTCCCTAATTTGCCCCATAGAGGTCTCTCTACTGAGAGAGTGCCACCTGGGGCTCGAATAACCAAGTTTGAAAAACTGTTAATTTAGGACACATGTATATTTTTCAACAACGGATTACACCATAGTTGCAAATGTACTAAAAAGCTTCATAAGTGATTTGTTTTCAAATTTTTCTTATATCTGGGCTGTCATTATGTCTGTGTTATGCATGGTTTGGCATTTTTTGCCATCTTTTTGATTCCTCCTTGCTGCTGCAGAGATGGTTAGCTCAATTGTACATACATTGGTTATTATGAGAATCATAAGAACTGTGTGGTAAGATACACCTGGAAGCTTTATATGTATAGTACATATGTGCACACATGTATGCGTATGTATGCGTGTACATACAGACATGTGTTGTAGATCCCTGGTGAGGCATAGCTGATAAGTTTTCTTGGTTGGAGGTTAGTAGGTGTTGTAGTATTTCAGTAGCACTAACTAGATAGCAAAAAAAAAGCAGATGGGAGTGAGACTGTGCCGTGAACAAATGGTTATACCAACCCACAGTTCAGTTCCATGTACTTGAGCTTCTTGGAGAGGATGTAGAATTCTGAGTGCATCTGCAGAGCTTTTGAGAGTGACCTAGTAGAGAGGGAGGAATTGATAATAAAGTCTGGAGAAGAGGTATTACTGCTGAGGAAAGGAGGCCGTGATGTGCTGCAAGAGTGGATGACATCAGAATGGTTTTTCAGTTTCAGCACAGAAGGAAGTGGTGAGGGTGAAGTCCTGGTAGCCTCTATCCTGGAACAGGTGGGGTGTGTGTGTGTGTGTGTGTGTGTGTGTGTGTGTGTGTGTGTGTGTGTGTGTGTGTGTATGTGTGTGTATGTGTGTGTGTGTATGTGTGTGTGTGTGTGTAGCACCCCAGGATTCCCTTTGTTCCTGTCCATCTGCATCAGCTCCTGGTGGTATTTGGTCACTTCATGTTTCCTGTGGTCCTCTGAGGCCTCCCATCTCCTCCTCTGGAATCTTGTTTCTTTCCCACATTCCACCTTCTGCCTATATAAAAGATTTCTGAGCAGAAATTTGTTCTGATGCAGCCCTCCCCTCTTGGAGATCCATCTTACTGAAGTCTCCTCTCCCATCCTGTGGTTTTGAGAAGGAGGTGGAAAGCAGCCATGTTCTTTCTCCCGGTGCCTGTCCTGCCTCCATCCTAGATCAGCCTGAGACTTCAGGACCAGGAAGAGTCCTGCAGTAAATGACTTGAGCAGCATGCTGCTGGCAACAATGGGAGATGGGCTTTCCCATCTGGGCTTGTCTCTCCTTGCTACTTTGTGCCATCAGAAGGGCAAAACCTCAAGGGGGTGAGGATTGATATAAGCAAGCAGGAAAGAAGCTAGGAAGGCATGACTTTTCCCCGTAGGTTTCTGCAGAAGTAGAAGGGAATTTTGTGGCTCACACATGACCCAGCCCAGCTCACCAATTAAAAAAATAAACCTCTTAGAACTTGAGTTCCAAAGACCAACTAATAACAAATGGTGCTTTTGCCTTGTCTGTGACCTTTTTCACTATCTGAGGATAACTTACTTCTTAACAAAGTATATTCAGAGAGCAAATTTCTATAGGTCAAAAATCGATCATTAATTTCAATAGGAAATTGTGGATTTGTGTTTCTGAGCCACCAAATCAAACCTTATTAATATTAAAATAATACTGTGTCACCCTAAAATTAAGTTGACAGCTAGCATAGTTTTCGCTAAACTAATATTGCATTCTATTTTTTTTGTTCTTCGATTTGGTTGCTTCCTTGCTCTGCTAAAGCTTTCTTCAGCATCACATAGTATAAACTCCAGATTCCTTCACAAAATACAGAAATTAAACCCAGTATTTATGCACTTCAAACTCAAGTATGAGAAACACACACTGAAAACAGCAAAAGGAAAGCTAAAAACAATCCCATAAGGTCAAGGGAGTACTAGTGAGAATGTGCGATTACACCCTCCCCAGCGTCGTGGTGCTGATGTCACAGGAGAATGACGCGTGCAATCTTCTCTGACACAGAGCTCCTGCTCCCCACATATGTTGAATGAAGAACGCACGCAAAGCAAGCCAATTCTTACTACTATGAGGGTGACTAACTGTCTCACTCTGCTGCTATCTGGCTCCTCCTGATATGTGTGCAATTCCAACTGTTGTTATGGAGGAGGGGGGGAGGGGAAGGAGAGGGAGGAGGAGGAGGAGAAGGAGAGGGAAGAGGAGGAAGCAGAAGGAGGAGGAGGAGAAAGAATGCTTTTCAGGAGTACTAAATGCAATTCCACTGAGTAGAATTCAAGTTCTTGTAATTCAGGAGTTAATTCAGTGTTTGTTGGGGCTCAGAAGACATGGCTTTGGAGGAGGTGTGTCCTTTGGTGAATAGACATCCTAAATAGCTGTGACCCCATCATGCCTATTATGGACTAAATTGTATTCCCCCAAATTCATGTGTTCAAAGCCCTAGCCCCAATGTGCCTGAATTTAGAAACAGGAGCCTTTAAGGAGGTCATTAAGGTCACATGCGGTCATAGAGTGATGCCTTAAGCCTTATGGGTTGTGTCCTTGTAAAAAGAGGAAGAGATACCAGCTGCCCCAGGGATGCAGTGTACATAGAAAAGACACAGCCCGAAGGCTGCCATCTTCACACCAAGGAAAGCGGCCTCAGGAGAAACCAACCCTGATATCAGACACTTTGATCGTGGACTTCTAGCATCTAGACTGAGAAAATAGAACTCTGGTTAAGCATACTTTGTGACAGCCCTGGCTGTTGACCACGCCACCCCCTCCACCTTTCTGTCCCTTACGGATCTACTATTCTCAGTTTGCTCTTTGGGGCAGGGCTGTCTATTACCAGTAGTTTGAAGAGCTAATTCTCTCCTTGATTTAAAACAAGTGAAGGAGTCATGAAAACCTTACCATTTGGGATCCGGTGAAAGAGTA